AGAAATATTATGTTATAAATGTCTTTACTGTCACTTTTGATCAATTTGATGCATTCTATAAAAGTATTCATTTCTTTCTTTAAAAAAAAATCAACATTGATGATAATAAGAAATCTTTCTAAAGCACCAAATAAATTATAATTTCTGAAGGAAATAGAATAATTACATTTTAAAATACATTTAAATTATAATGCTATTTCACAACATTATTGTTTTTACTGTATTTTTTTGATCAAATAAATGCAGTTTTGACTTCTTTCAAATTATTCCAAACTATATAATAATAATAATCATTAATTCATTCATTCATTTACTCTTACTCTAAGATGAAATTCTAAAATATTTATGGCCAGTACATTTTCTCAAGTATGGCAAAAAGTTTTTTTTAGACCTTGTGCACGTGTAAAAGGGGTCAAACGTTCTCTCTCCTGATCGAAACCAGCTGTGTACTCGTAAGCTGTTTCTTTTTTTAATTAACATGTAAAAATATTAAAGCTACAAATTTCCGACCTGATGATGCTTTGTGCAGGTGATAGCCAGCAGATGGTGGTTTCAGGCAGAAAATAACCCCCTCCTATGCCTTAAAAAAGGCCCTATTTGCATTTCATGAGGTTTAATTGTGTCTCTTGTCCCTCGGTCCATGGTCCAGCGATGCTATGCCTGTCAGAGAGAGCTTCAGAGCCACTGAAAAAGGCCTGATAGATTAAAGTGGACCTTCTGTTTGCGTCTTTTCCCATTGTGTTCCAGAAATGAAGGAGTATTATCTCCCTGAAGACTGGAGAATGGATAGCGGAGGCGTTAATGACATTGGGTGGGTAGAATTAAAGGGTTGAGACGTGGGCGGGGGACAGAGGAGACTGAGAGGGACACGATGGATAATGTCATTATTTTGTAGTCTCGTTTGTGACCCAGAGGACGTAAACAATTACGGTGGCGACAGAGGAGGGGCACGAGGGGCATAAACAAAGCTGGCGGTGTGGTGTGTTTACTATCCTGTTGTGTTTATGTATCAACTCTTAAAAAGTGTGTTTAGGTTCTGATTTTTTGTCAATGAGACCTTTCCGGGTCTTGTTTCACTATTACATTTTCCACCTGTTAAGTTTGCTCACTGCAGTTAAATGAACATCTCTTAGGGCTGCACGATTAATCGAATGCGATTGTTGTGCGCATTTTGATAGTAATGCCGGTTCTGTAATCAGCAGGAAATCATCATCACGTGCTTTCAGATGGAGCAGAATTTACTACACATAGCCGTAATTCACTGACAAGTTACGCAAAAAAATCGCAGGGGCTGTCGCGCTATTTTGTGTTTGTTTATTGTATTATTAAAGTTTGTTTAAATGTCCGCCGGTTCCCTGCTCCTTCTTCCCGACCTACAAACGTTTGCTACAGTTACTTTTTATTAATAACTATACAGTCTATTAAAAAAAATTTATTGCGCGATTATGAAACCCAAGAAATCATTCGCGATAATGACAGCTGTTTGCATAGCTTCTCAGTGAACTACGGCTCTGTGAAGTAAATGCTGCTCCATCTGAAAGCATGTGAAAATACCACATTTAGTAATCAATGAAAGCAGTTGAATCTTCTGTTTATTCAGCTGCAGCGATAGGCATTTTCTGGGTTTCTTCTGCGAGGCGTATTTGGAGTTTCAGCGCGAGAGCGCCCTCTGGCCTTTGGATGGAGATTTACTGCTGATCACAGAACCGTGCTTCACTGAAAGACACGCATGACAATCGAAGCTTCTGTCGAATCGCGATCTCGATTCCATTTCGATTTATCTTGCAGCCCTAATCTGCATACAATTTGTTTTTGTTTATACCAGAATCTTTGGTTTTATTACCCAAGTAGTTTTTTTTATTAGCATTTTCTCTGTAACATACATCATCTCCAGATCTTCATAAGGATCAGGGCTTTTGGAAATCGGACGGGGTGCAGCAAATCATTCTGACAGGCTGAAGTTGCAGGGGTTTTGTGGTCAAATACATTAATTACCATCATTATAAGATAAGACACATGGGTGATATTAATTTGTCTGCCTTACAGAGACGTTCCCAAGAGAGCCCAACATCATCCGATTCCTTTAAATAGTCATTGTGAGTATTTATATCTATGATTTATGGATAAATGAAGGAGCATGTGTTTTGAGGGTTTTTTTAAACAATGAAATGCTGTTAAAGTATCCAGTTCAAATATATATTTATATTTATAAATGCATAAACAAACAAACAAACAAATATTAATTATATATTGCAAAAATTACATTGCAAAAATGCAATTGTTAAATTCATATAAATATTATGTAGTTCTGTACACATTTATCTGCTGCAGAATAATTGTATTATAACATGTGAACAGGAAATTCACCTATTCAAATTTTGTTCAGTTATTTTACAGAACGTGAAAAATGCACCTAGCAAACAAAGTCTAAATGAATTCCACTGCTGATTATTTCATGAACGGTGTAATTAGATTAAATGGACTGTGACACTTTGTAAAATGGTGTGTGACATGTTCTTTCTTGTCCCTTTTTTCCCTAATCTGTTTTGTTCTTGAACTCTTTTAGACTTTAACTTTTTTTGTTTTGTTTTTGTTATAATTATTTGTGTTAGAAGTTTATTGCACATTATCATACAAAGTTATCAAAAATCTCGCTAGAGGGCAGCAGGGGGCTTTGTTTGGACTATAATTGGATATTTAGGATCTTGGGGAAAATACTCTTAATGCCTTTTTTTGTAACGATTATTTAACATTTGACATATTTAATAATGTTCTGTTCTATCTAGTGATAAGTTTCGTGTCTTTGTACACTTTAGTGACCTGTAGCTGTCAGATATCTGCATTCACTGTCTCAGAAGAATGTTTTGCTAACGCGCCCATTCAGTTATGAAAACTGAAAAATCTAAATGTTATCATTTTGCACATATTATGGGAACATTAGTTTGGAATGTTCTCTGAAACAAGTAGGATGCAAATTTTGAAAACATTACACTCACGTTCTGAATTTAAAATGTTTCTGAAAAATGTTCCACAAATGATGTATAAATCATGATTTTGTGCTAACGTTTTAATAACATTAAAGACCAGATAACATTGAACGAGCGTTTTATTAATGTTACTGGAAGTACATTTGTTCATATTTTTGAGAGAACCTTTCCTGGGGTGTTGTTGAATGTGACGCTAATAGAATGTTGATTTATAAATAAATAAATAAATGAATGACTGAATAAATAAATAAAGCTAAAAATGTCCTTAGAAATCAATATCAAACATGGCATCTATTAAAAAAAGTTAATTTCTAACGCTGGATGGTCTTTCTCATATTTCACATATTAAGTTGCACTATTTAAATTACACCACTATGTGGCACTATTTTCTGACTTTCTTTTTTTTTTTTTTTTTTAGATCAGTGGTTCTCTCAACTGGTTGTGCTGAAGAACTTAGAATTGCAATATTACATTAGCATGTAATATGCAGAATTATTAATTAAATTTGCATAGGCTGAATAGGGTGATTTTGTAAACAGCGGCTGATTCTGATATCTAAACCTGTGCAAACCTGGCACACTTATGGATGTTGATTGATGTTTCTTTTTATAAGTTATCTTATAAATTTAATTTCATTATTTGCTGTCAAAACCATTGACATTTTTGAAACACAACCCATCAGATGAAACCACTGGTTCATTTGAATTCAAATGCATTTTTGCAGAAAGTAAAATGAGAGACAGTTTTCTGGCAAGCAGTATTTCTTTTTAATAGCTTTTAATAAACACACAAACACAAGCTTTCATAAGAGAAGCAAGTCAAGAGGCACAGAGTTGGGTTCTTGTGAATGAACAGTCTTCATCAGAGCTCAAACGCCTTCAGACACGACTTACAGTACAGGTGTTTTCAGAAGGAGCACCACGACATTCAATTAAATACAAATATTACACTGTTTACAACTGCTTAGACAGATCAAATGAATACAACACGATTCGATTGTTATTTCAGGTTTTAGTCTTACGATATCAAGTAACAGTTATAATGTTGGGAAATGAGCACATGCAACATTTGTATAGTGCTGGTCCCATGTCAGAACAGACCACATATTGATTATATATTGATATTTTTAAGGGCATTATCGCTACATACAGAAATCCCTTTACACTCAAGAAGGAAAAAGTATCAATCTCTTTTATTGCAGGTAAAATAAATTATTCTGCTGTGCGTAAAGTTGTTTGTTCAGTCACAAAAAAAAAGCAGAAGGGGATTTAGTCATGACATTCATCAGGCCAACATATTCAGTTCATCATAACAAAACATAATTTATTGTTTTTTGGTGTTACAGGAGAATAAATCTAATACATGGTCCTCAGAATAGGGCCTTTAATTGTAAGTAATATGTTTCTTTTTTTAATGCAATCACATGCTATTACAGTACATTGTGAATTACTGTGAGTAGAAACAGAGCATCTCCAAATGGTAGACATTGCAGCATGTTATATTTCAAGTATTGAAAAAGTTTCCATGCATGCAGGTGTTATGATGTGTCCACCACCACCATCACAAAACTGCCACTTTAGATGCTTTTAAATATGCTTTTCTTGATTTATTGTGTATATAGAGGATTGTAAGCTGTAATTTTGACACTTGAAAAAAGCTATGCCATTATTTCATGTTTATTTGATATTTTTTTAATGCTTGTTTGATTTGAATATGCAGATTTGGATTTAAATGCAACATATAAGCGACATCTATTAAACTGAGTGAAAGAAGTACTGCTTTCTCAAATTCTACTGCTAATACTGCTCTTAAAAGTAACTTTAAAAAATCCAACTAAAATCAATAGTTTTTACTACAATTTCTTCATCACAATCTCCCAAATCTAAACTAATAACCACATGCTACTCAGAACACATTTTGTTTGTTTTATTATAAAATGAACCTTTTTTGGCGAGTACTGTATATACAGCATTGTGTATAGGCACAAGCACAACATATTCAATGGCATTCTAATTTTGGATTTCAGTCATGTTATGTCCTTCTAAATAAAATCTAAATGGCTATTAGTTAAAGGAATGGTAAATACATAGCACCATTTTTGTTGGAAATTAAGAAAAAAAAAACAACGTTCAAAACTGCCGATCTAACTATGGTGTTTAAGTTACTTCATCTATGAATTCTCAATGCAGCTTCATTGAAAACACTTCCTTTCATTGTCCCTATAATGTAATACATGCACTTTAGTTAAAATACATCAAAACCTTTTTAGCAGTATTTTTGGCCTTATAAGGAAAGAAAACTTGCCACAGACACACATTATGGCTAATGATGCACGTTTCTTCGACAAACACACACTCTAGGCACTTCTTTGTTCTTTGTCAACAGAGCAAACATAAAATACTATGTACATACATGTAAAAAGTGTTATAAATAGGTTTTAAACCAAAGATACTATATACACATCTTCAAATGATGACAGTATTGAATATGTCTTTTCGGGGTGGCAGTGGTGTTGATTTTGACTGACCCCGCTGGGTGAAGATACTGCGTGATTTCACTTCTCTGTGGATGCAGTGCGATACTTTGGCTTCAAAGCTGTATTTCCAGGTGGCGCCCACAAGAGGGTGGTGCCACCTCACTCTCGTTTTCTCAAGATGACGTAGATTAAGCCGCTTATGAGCACCAGAGGGAAGGCTACCCAGGCCAGGATGTAGGAAAAGCCGTAGGACTCTGTCTCAGGGACCCATTCAGAGTTCATTACCGTATAAATGATAGCTCCACACATAATGAAAAGACCTGGGGGAAGAGGAAGACATGAAAAATTAAGTGTCTAGAAATTAAAAAAAATAAATTAACTGATGTTACCGTCTATAATTTTTTATTTTAAAATATATTTAAATCATGACAACTCTCGGAACATTTTAGCATGGTGATGGATATGACAATGTTAATGTATTTGGTCCTGGCGGAACAGATCTGCTACGCTGAATTGCTGCTGCTGTTGGTTATTGCTGTAGTTGTAGATTATTGCTTGCTCTGCAAGCAAGTACAGGAACTTGCTACTGCCAATGCATATGGCGATACGGTGCCATGAGCATTTAAGACATACTGCTGCTGCACAAATAGCATATAAAATAACCC